TTTGATAAATATGACTTAGTATATATTAATAGTTTATCTATAAATATACTAATAATATTATTGATATTAATTTATTAGTAATATTATAAAAATAATAATATATAAATTTTATTTATTTATTAAAAATGAATATATATGCGTTAATAATAAATAATTGTATAATTTTAAAATATTATATATATATATATATATATATATTAAAATTATTAAATTTTTAATGGGAAAAACTAAAATCGCATAATTATGATATTTAAGGAACTAAAATTGTTTAATTAAAAATTGAAGGACCAAAATTGCACAATTGTAGTATTTTAGGAACTAAAATTACCTAATGAAAACTTTGGGAATCAAAATTGCACAATTGCAATACTTGAGGGATCAAAAACGCAATTAAGCCTTTTATTTATTACAGTCAACTCTATTAAAATTCTTTGTTTTCCTATTATATTTAATAAAACTAAAAAATATTTCTTTTTATTTATATATACATGTAGTTTTCCTACAGATTAAAATTGGTTGGAAAACTCGTAAGAAAAGTTACCTAAATTTTTTTTCCTACCATTTAGTAAAAATTATTTGCAAATTTATTTTTACAAGAAAATCCGCAAGAAATAAGATAAAATTCTTACAACATTTTTTTGCAAATTTTTACCATAAAAAAATTTCTATGATCATTAAAATTGTAGAAAAATTTGCAAAAAAAAAATTGTGGATTATTTTTCATAAAAAAATTTGAAAGAAATTTCTGTAAATTATTTTTCGCAAATAAATTTACAATTTTTTTTGTAAAATTATTAAGTAAGAAAATTCACAAAAAGAATTTGTAAATATTTTTTTATAAGAAAATTCATAGAAAACGATACTTTTTCTAGTAGTGAGATCTTTATATAAGTAGAAAGATTGTTAATTGTTTTGAACTAAAATATAATTAAATTTTAATAAAGTTGATGTTATATAATGCTCTTAAATAAAAAAAATATCTTAAAGATAATAAATGGGAACACTATCTATCATATATATATATATATATTATATATATATCTAGAAATATTTTAGTAAATATAATATATATTTTCTAAATCATAAAAAAATAAATACATTTAATTAACTTTCTTAATCTACATGAAATTTGTCTTTTTTTTTTCTTCTTCTTATATACAGAATGTGCAGAAAGAGTATAAATGAATAAAAAAAGTTTTATAGTGTGTTTGAATGAGGAATTTAAATGCAGTAATTCATTTATTTGAAGAATTTCAAATTTTTTGAAGTAAAATACCTAGTTTGGATGAAGAATTTATAAGGAATTTAAAATTCAAGCATTTATGAAATTTCTTGAAATAGTAGAATTTCAAATTCTCCCAAAAAAGTAAGAATTTGAAATTCCTCATATTTTTTTTCTTATTTCACTTATATATTTTATCTTATCTCTTATCTCTTCATGTACTTAATTATTGAATATTCAAAAATATTTTTAAAATTATTAAATATTAACTAATATTAATTTTTAAAATTATTAAATATTTAAAAGTAGTTAATATTTATTTTTATAAAATTTGATTTAAAAATCTCAACATATAAATATATTTTTAAAATCAATTTTACCATGGTGGAATTAAATTGTTATATCCAATCCAACAATTTAAAATTTGTTAAATTTGAATTGACTTATCCAAACAAAATATTTTAAGAATGATAGAAATTAAAATCAAAATAATTCAAATACCAAGAATTTAAAATCCCTTGAATTTGTAAAATTCTTCGTCCAAACACACCCTTAATAAAAATTAAATGTTTATATATAGCTGTATACCAACTAGTTAAGCAAGACTGAATCGAGGCAAACATTACATTGCTCTAATATTCAATTAAGATGAAGGCCATCTCTTCACTTCTATTCATTGTACTTGTTCTTTCCATTGGAATTGGTATGTTTTGGTTTTCAATTGTTCTAGTCACTAGTTTTATCGTAATGATTTTAAACTTTTTTGGTTTTTAAATTAATATGTTTTGTTTTTAATATTGAATATTGTGTTTGTGGAATAGAAAATGGCGGGCCATTGAAAGGGACATATGCAAAGCTTTGTGACATAAAACTCTATGATTATTGTGATGACACTTGTACCCCTGATTGCCTGAAAAAATATGGAAAGAAAGTAACAGCTTTGTGCAATGAATCGGGTTCGTGCATATGTCGTTACCAATGTTGAGTGTTTCTCCTTCTTCTCCAATGTTGTTCTTATGAATGCTAGATTATGTAACGACGACGGCGAATTCAAAGAAAATAAAATTACTTCTATTTATCATATCCATCTTTTAGTTTATCTTTTCCTAGTTCCTATTTTCAGTATGATTATTTTTTTATTTCGTGTATAACTTATATGTAATATATATAAACAAAATGGAGATAAAATACATAATTATAATTTAATTAATTAATTGGTAAAGAAAATGACATGTTCAGAATAACAACAAATATTTTTCCTTCGCTAGTTTTTGGATGTAATAAAAGTTGGATTTTAATTACAATACCCGAATTAATAAATAATGTTTATTATAATTATATTAAAAGTCATATCTAAAGCAATTTCTAATTAACTAATAACAATAGAAAGTATAGAACGTATAAAACCAACGAGATTGGATTTAGCTAGAAATAAATGAATGTGACGAATCAAAGTTGTAACACCGAGTTTTCAAAAAGTTATTATTATTATTATTATTTTTTTTTTTCAAAAAAATTATTATTATTATTATTATTATTATTATTATTATTGTTATTATAATTATAATAATAATAATAATAATAATAATTATTATTAT